GCACGACGTTTCGGATGCTTTGCAGCAGTCGTAGTGGCAGTCTCCCCGTGACCACGGTGTTTTATTTAAATGTGCACTACTCGCGTAAACTACAAGCTGTCTTTATACTAGGAGTATTTATGTAAATAATTAAATGGCATTTTGACAGAGAACAGATAGACAGACGAGATATTTAACTATGTTTAAGCATTGACATAAAATGCATATGTATATGATATAGTATATATATATACAGTATAGTGTATATATAAATTGATAAAACTTTAACCCTTCTTTTAAACAGAGAATGCGATTAACATGAACTCACATATAACATCTAAATTATATGCGCTATCTATGGATATATTTTGGTTTGGAATATTAGAAAATCCACATACAATTATAGAATAATTAGAAACATATTGATACCCGTGGACGTCGAACCCACGACCCGTTGTTTATTAGCAATCGCTACCATTAGACCAATGGCTCCGTGAAATACACTATACATATAATGAGCCCCCATAACATTTAAATTCAAGGCCCTTCCCATGTTTTGATTCGTAATTATCTAATGAGCCGGAAACCTGTACTTGTACTAATAAAATAATTTAACTCACAATTCAAAAGAATTAAGCAATCGTTACAAGTATTCATATCCTTCTATTTAGGAAGTAATCGAGGCGCTTGCGCATGGTCTTTTTACATTTAAATCTGGTCATACAAGTGATATTTCAATTAGCGATAATAGTTCTTATTTCGCCCTATAGAAGACATTAAAAGAGAAATATATGAAAAAACTTGTTTAATTAAGCTACAATATTTAAAGAGATTTTTTCATGAGGTAATTTATATTGAATATTTATTGAGCCATTAAAATGTTGTATTTAATACGTAACTACAGACACGCGTAAACTACAGACAATATTTACGTTTAGTAAGTAGTTTAGCTTTACTTAACTAACCTGCGCTTAGCAAGAACATTTTATGATAGTAACTCTTAAATATATTATCTTCTGAAGTGTAAGTCATGGTGTCCGAATAGTTATTTTCACTAAATTACATGCGTTAAGTGTTAGAGATTTTGATATTTCTCTTTTACTTCATAAATTATATTATAAAGATTTAAAAATATTAACTAACTTAAGTAACTGACTTTACTTTAGTAACGTCTAACGATTTGTAAATCAACTCCTACAAGGTATAAACCATACATAAATATATAAGTATATCAAGAACACGTTCTTGTCTTTCTTTAATTCACGTGTATTAGAAATTGATACTTAATTTAAAAATGTTAATTCTAAATTCGATTTTCAAAAATTCTTGTCTTTGATTCATTCAAGCGTAACAGAAATCTATTCTTAATTGAAAAAAGGGTAATTCTAAATTCGATTTTCAAAGTCTCAATTTTGATAACTGTAACGACCTTCTACTTTACTGGCTGAATGTAGTTTGTAGATTAAAAATAATTGAAATAGTGTTTACTTACCGGAGCCACTGGCAAATAGGAAGTCCCTTTGGAGGGAAGACGTTTTCAAATAAGGGTAAAACAGCTTGCTGCCGTGCCCGTACCGGATCTCAGGACTGTAGAAAGAGGAAAAATAATTTAGAGAAGACGGTTAAGCTTAATTTTTTCACTTGATAAGCAGCTATAATTGCTACATCATTTAAGTGTTAAAGGAAGTGTGACAAATAGATTTGACTTCTAGAAATTTGTAAGTATTTCTATTAGATACATATCATCTATATTTTTCATTCAATATTAAGCTTTACGGATTTTTATTGCATATTTGTTAATTGTTCAATATGTATATTTAAGAGAGTAACAGGCATATAACATATTATTTGTATTTAAGGTGTTTAATTAATTTTTTAACTTCTTTTATTTGCCTTTGTAGAATATTTTTATAGTCGATTGATTGCTCTCGATTTAGTAGGAAATAATCATAAAAGTAAATAATATTTATTGGTATCAAAAATGTCTTGGTTAATTATTTATTTCATAAGCCTGATGCAGCTACGTTGGATTGCACAATAAATTACAACGAAATTAATATCGGTTTAAAAATTATATCATGTGCTTTAAGAGCATGTATATATATGTTTTTTTAGTAGTTCTAAGATTGTAATTAAAAATTTTGTAGCAGACAGAGTCTCTTTATAATAAAATAACATACTTTCATAAAGTATTACAGTTTCTGTATCGCAGAACAATTTCGTATTTCAAAATTAATTACGTATATAAGCGCGATTTGAATATCGAATAGCGGAAGTGGAAAATCTTAGCACAGCTCGTTTAGAAAGGATAGATAAAGTGGAGCGACGCGTGTGGCGGGGGCGGGGGGCCGTGGCGCGCGGGACCTGCGCGATTTTTCACTCAAGACCACGTGTAAGCCACGTGCGTGCTTGCACCAAACTTTTCCCCGAAGTTTTCCCTCGCTCATTCCTTTTCGCGCGCCCGTTCGTAAACTTGAATCTTTGCGCGAACAATTGAATATCGAACGACGTTCTCTCTTTGAACTTTCAACGCGACTATAGATTCTTTATTTTAAACGTTTTACAACGTGACGTAACGTGGCGTAACTGATTAGAATATTATACGTGATTTGATGTTAACACGGAAACATCTAGCGTATTAGCAGCTATTTGTACTAATAGATGTTCGAAATTCAAAATTCATGGATATTACAGTTAATTTCGAAAACATCGATTAGTTCTACATTTCGATGTAATTAATATTGATTGATATGATCCGTGGCCGATGTTAATAAAATGTATCTTCAGATTTCACCGGCAGACAATTCCCTAGTTTCCGATGTAATAAATGATTAGACCTGCTCTCTCGACACGATATATCACCGCGAAACTCGCAAGCTCGACTAAGCCGCGTCTAGAAAATTCTTAATTGAACTAATGAGAAGTAATTACAATTTTTATTACGGTCATAATGATTACGATGCCTTAAAATAATAAAAGCAATTAGACATTGGGCGTAGCTGAACTGATATAGTTGTCTCTTTTACTCTTATGTTTTTATAGATTGTTACTAAGGGATGGGTAAATGGTCTGATTAAATGTAATTGTTCGGTTATAAAACAGAATGTCAGAGACGGTGTTCTGTTTGTCGTAAAATTGTTGAGATGTTTCCATTTTCGTGACCTCGGGGGGAAATTTACTCGACAATTTAAGTCTTTAAGAACTCTTTTTTATTATTAATTACTTTAAACTGTTACGGCATCATAAATAGACGAACCATATCTTGATTCGCCCTTGTCAATTTTGTGCAGAAACTTTGTTAAGATTGGAAAGTTGTCAAGTACTACGGACATCGTAATGTCTCAACAAATTATCTAAAATTGCTTTAAAGAGAAATTCGAAAGTTACGTATGACATATGTTTGAAAATGGAATCCCGGAAAAATATTTGATTAACTACTGAACAGTGAATAGCGTCGATTAGTATTTGGTTCGTTCTACCTATCTAGAACGAGATTTCGTTCTTTAGCTCAAGACTTACGCATTTTTTATACTAAAGAGTTATTATAAAGAATCAAAAGGTAAATACTTAGTAGTAGTACTTTTTGATAAATTTTTGTTTACAATTATCTATAAATAAGATATCTTTCGCAACTACACGAGAACTTAATTGCGTTTAATTCATATCATGATTTTTTGAGCAATAAATTAGAGACACAATTGAAATGTGTGATTCAGAGTTGGGCACAAATGAATCATGTCGTTGATTGAGACAATGAATTGTATGAAATGATCTGGTGACATGGAAATAGATGAAATTGGTCACAAAATTTATAGGTGGGTAGTTTTTTCTACTGTTAGTCGACCCCCGCCCACAAGGCCTATTAAAATCCTATTAGATTTTTTTTATGACGGAAAAGATAATCATGGGATTTAATATTTAGATATAAGTTTAAATTGCAGCCATATTAAAGGGGGATAAAAATTGCGTTGTGTAATTTTATATTAATATTAATATAATATAAAATATTTAAATATGTTTAATTAATGAAGAAATCTTTAAGATATGTTATACAGTTAAAACTTTTATATAAAATCTTTTATAAATATGGAAAGTACTTTGTAATATTACGCATTTTTTTTTATTTTATTAATATATATACGACAATTAAGGGACTTTTATTTTAAAAATTCAATAGTATAGGGGCGGTTACTTTTGTGGTTAAAGGCTTTGGCCTTAGTCAATAAACTTATTCTAATTATATTAAAACAATTTAACAAACAACATTTTACTCTAAAAAAATCCTAATTTTTTTATGTAGGTAGTCTAGGTGGTACCTCTTATTTGGTAGAATTTTTAAATCAAAGAAATATTTTGAAATATGATATATTTTTTTTATCTTTTACGTATCTTATTTAATGTAACATTTTTTTTTAATATGTATTGTATTAAAAAATATTATGGAATAATTTTTTCTTCAGTGCTTTAAAAAGCGAGCAAAGTTATTTAGTGTCCGTCTGTGTCTGTTGAAGTTGGAAACAGGTGTCACGTAAATACACTAACGCAGTTGTAGCTTATAATGCATCGAATTTCCACAAAAAATATAATATATGTACAAAAAAATACCTACTGAAAAACATTATACACGTCCTATCCGAACCAATCAGCTGTTCGGCGGTCGCACGCCCCGCCCCGTCGCAACTTTTCCGACATGTCACGAAAAATATTTACTTTTCATCTCAACTTTTTCATAAATTCAGTTTCGTCTAAACAAACTTCTGCGCCCGATTGTACCTACTTGGCATTACAGACTATCGGGTGAGACTACGCGTGTAAATAATTGTAGTATTTGTTTTTATTCTTCGACATGTTTCCAATTTGTACTCAACTTAAGCAAATAATTAACTACCTCTCTTATCTGTGCTAAGAAATGCTGTTTACCAATGCTATTATCCTGATTGTTTTAGGGAGATTTTATTTCACAAAAATGTAACAAATAAGATTCTAAGGATAATAAACACAATACTTACAATCTCAAAAAGATGCTTAGGTAGCTACAAGGTATGTTTTCGTAACAGTGACGCTGTTAATTAGCCGGCGTTCGCTGATTCATCACTTAATAACGTCTGAACGGCCGGTAGCCGAATATTACATCCACATCAAATTCCACCTTCAGTACAATATACAAGACACCACAAAGTTCGAACGCACGCACTAAAAAGTTCGCCGACAGCTGTCAAAAGACGCGGGAAACGTTTTTTTTCTCAGTGGCTGTCAAACGAGGCACAGACTGACACAGAGGCGACCGTCCACGCCAGTACTCTGACGTTCACTAGTCGCGCCTCGGCGTAAGTCGAGGTGAAGAAGGCAGCGGTCTCGGCCAACCCGCCTTTCGTTTGTCTCTTTCTCGCGCTGCCATACCCGCCCGTAGCATTTTTACGGTTTAACCGACTCAATTCAATTCAACTCAACTCAATTGTCGTGGCGTGAATGCCTTCGCACCGGACGCTAGAGAGAGACGCGCGCTCACTCGTCCGACGTCGTATACTTTTCTGATTTTCCATCTTAATATTAAAAATCTAGATTGACAATGATTATCTAGAGTGCGTCGATCAAGAATATATGCGTATGGAAATCGTAATAGAGCCTTAATCTTGGTTGAAGACGTGACAACAGCGAGCGATAGGCCGTTCCTCTCGCGCCACTATCGTCCGGCGCGCGTTTCCCTCGCGAAGGAAAGAGAAAACCGAGCTCCGATAGGCGTTACCGCCGCCGTCAGCTCCGGCTTCTGGGTGTGTAAAGTTTTAGGCCGAAACATGTAAAAATGCATCTTGAAAAAAAGTTATGTATTAAAAAAAGAAGCTTAGTGCGCGGCGGGGGGACATTAACGATAGCGGGTGGTGAAGGTTTTTTCGCACGGTATATTTCGGGGGGTGTTCGTAACTGGACAATGCATTATCGGGCTTCGCTGGCGATTCAGACGCATCACCTTGGCCATTTCCATTACAAAACTATCCTGGCTGAATGTAGGCAACATGCTGCATGTGCATGTGCTTTAATTATATTACAATTCATAGCTTATATTACTTTGAGGCGAAATTTGTGAGCACAAACGAAAGTATCTGAAAATGTAAAAAAGTTGCCATGTAAAATTGAACTGAAATCTTGGTTTGTACATAAGTCTTACTTCTTTACGTTTCGTATTTTCGTAGGAAAGTAAACGACGTTTGTATAAAAGATATAAACTATTTCAGTATCGATAATATCTTAAAGGTTTTTCAATAAAGTTAAAAGTTGAAAATTAATTAATAATAAGTAGATTTACCTATCTTCTTCATTTAAAATTATTACATTATAATATACACATATTAAAATTACAATATATTATATAGCTACACTATATGTGAGAAACATCAATAAACTTACTAAAACTTAGCTTCTAAACTTAATTTTATATACATTAATGGTTTAACTTTAAAAAAGGAAAAACTTTAAACATGTTATAAGACCGTTTTACAAAAATCGAAAACATACAAAAAAGAAAAAAAAAAAAAAAAATTTTTTTTAAACAAAAAAAATTTAAAAAAAAAAAAAAAAAAAAAAAAAAAAAAAAAAAACAAAACAAAGGGAGGGGGAAAAAAAAAAAAAAAAAAAAACCCCCCAAAAAAAAAAAAAAAACAAAAAAAAAAAAAAAAAAAAAAAAAAAAAAAAAAAAGAAAAAAAAGGGGGTAAAAAAAAAAAAAAAAAAAAAAAAGGGGGAAAAAAAAGAAAATAAAAATTTAAAAAATAAAATCCCCACAGAAAAAAAAAAATAATAAAAAAAAAAAAATGGTTTGCACAAACTTTACTGTGTAATTTACAAAACAAAAACTATCAATGCTAGACAGGAACTCGGATCTTTATAAAGATAAAACTTTCGTTATTTCCGAGATCTTGTAGTGTATAAAATAATTGTAATTACTCAAAACTGTCAATGTAAAAAATCTTTATAAGCGGCGGGTAGTCTTATTTATAATAAAGCTTTACAATATTAAATATTACATTACTTTCTATTGCGTTCTAAAAACTGAAAATCTCTGGGATACTCAACTACAAACAAACTCAGTCTAGAACACATCTATTATGTACGAACCGACATAATATTAAAAAGGCCGAACCAAGATAAGTAAACTTTAATATATTATATAACAATGAAAGGTGCTTAGGAAGCTTAGTGGAGTTATATAAAACAAAATAAACAACGATAAAAATTAACTAAATGTGCTAACTATAGGTTAAAATAATATATAGAAAATGCAGAAATTTTTGAAATCATTAATATTGTTTACATGATATTGCACATGAAGGCACTATATAATTTAAAAATCGAAAATAAATAGAAAAATTTCGTCTCGGGCAGGACTTGAACTGGCATCGTCAGCGTTCCGTGCTGTTGACTCGGTAGCTCAATTGGTAGAGCAACATATTATTTTGCTTTTAGCATTTTGATATTTTGCATTTAGATAATAGCTAGCTTGTGCTTAGTTTTTATTGAAATTTAAAATAATCGTTAAATTTAAAAAAAAAAATTATAAGTTCTTCATTTAACGGGTAATTAAATTGCTGGCGTAATGGAAGCAATGTGGCTTATCAACGGATCGTTGGTGGGTCAAATTATATTTTTTCCGAAACATGTTGGATTCCGTCCTATAAATTAAATATTAAAAGGGTCACGAACCACGATTGCCAGGTGGAAAAGCCGTGAAGTTTAATCGCGTGTTTCGGTACCAGTCCGATTTCCGTACATCCAAAGTCAACAATAGGTCGACAACTCATCTTGTTGAGATGTTACAGTTAGGCTGAGTTATTTCACATTCCAGTAAGTGAACCTCGTTCTGGTTTGTCTTCCTCTATCCAAAAACAATACGCGTTAATATGTATTTATAGCAGAAGTACATAGTAACATTTTAAAGATTAAAAAATCCTATACATAAAGGGAAACGTGGATATATGATAGTCCGGCTATCTACCCTCAATATTAACTTAAGAAAGAAATAATCGAACCCGAAGGATTAGAACGTCTCTATAGCTTTTGAAAACATTAATCTTTTTTACGTTATGCCCAGAGGGCAAAAATTAAAAAATTTTCGACTGGGCATGAATTGAAATCGTCAGCGTTCCGTGCTGTTCTAATAATCTTCGTACTAGAGTTCATGAATTGAAATCCCGGTGAAACAATAAATTGTTTCAGTCGGGCACAGAAGTCTGATCTACTACAACACGTTCTCTCAGCATCGTAAGGCGTCATTTTCAGGTTCAGGTAATGAACTGAATCCAGTCTGAAATACAGATAGATAAACCGTTACTGAAATCACGAGGGTGTGTCTAAACTCATAAATTCTCTTCAAACGTCGATCCTCCGTCCGTTACGAGCACAAATGTACGTAAATAACTAAGTGACGTCACAACTTTATATCCGTCTAAGTTGGCGCGGCCAAAAGTTGCCTTTGCCTTAATAATTGATTAAGTTCCGGATTACATGGACGGCGAGACAGGCATTATGCCTGTCTTTTCGTCCATGATATGTAAAACCTGAACGTCATTTTAGGTTCTTTTAAGTTACAAGGAATCTTTCTATGTGAGTATATCTTCAAATCAGATCGATCAAAAACGGATCAAACTTTTTTTTAAATGATAGAGGTTGACAGACAAGCATGAGATCCACTTAAAACTGTCATATAACCTAAGGTTAAACATGGCATGGGTTTCCCTCCTCGCCTTTTCCTCTGTAGATTGTGGTTCGAGGCCCGGACTAAATTTCTTATTCCTAGCCCCTCAACGATGTTTTTGACTGAACCGAGGTGGTTTTTATGTACTCGATTGACAAAAAATTAAGCCGAGTAAATCTCGGTATACACATAACAATAAGCTCGGTAAGCAAACATTTTTCATACTGTTACAATTTTATTTTATTTTTATGTATAGTATAAAAGTCTTATATGTTTTAGTATGGCTTATGGAAGTAACTAAACAGAGTTAGCACCAAAAATTTGCTATTATTATTTAGTTAATTTAAGTACGCAGTGCCTATCGTGATATGTAATCGGGGCTGTATTAGATCTTGGACTGTATCTGGGAGTCTGGGTCGTGTCTAAAAATTAACTAATCCAGAACAGCAGTAATGGATAGCCTTATTTACAATTTATAATAACGAACTTATATAGACCTTGTCGATTTAATCTGTTTACGAATTGAATATCTTTCTGTACAAAGTGTAAATTTATTTAAGTTTAAATAAAAGAATTGGGATGTAGTTACAATAAATTGTAAATTTATTGTAAGTTTATAACTATCCTTACATTTTTTACAGTTAAACGCGTAACTATAGACAATATTGTACACATTAGGTATTGTCTATCTGTCGAATTTGTGAAATAATATGTTGATCTGTGCCAGATTAACCATTTAATTGAATTATGCAGTTACGGAGAGCTTCTTGGGATTTCAACGTTTCGCCATCACAAGTGCATGACATCATCAGGATAATTAAATTGACCAATATTAACGGTTTAAAACAAAAAATATATACAACGACAAAAATAATCTAATAAATATATTTCTAAGGTCTACAAACAAACTATACGTTATTAGAGACTTAATTAGTACAATAGAAGGAATATCAAAAAAATATGCAGACACGCAAATAAAATGTTAAAATAAAAACCTTATTTAAAAAGAAAACCCCTATATAGTCTGTAGTTTACGCGAGTAGTACACATAACGAGGAGTATACATCTTTTTCGAATGTTCCCCCGTGACCACGACTTCTGCAAAGCACCCGAAACGTCGGGCTGCAGTTAAATTAAAATATTAATTTAACTAATAGTATATTTCTCCGTCCTAATTAAATGCTTGGTCACTCTTCACTTAGTCGAGGAGCGCGTAACATCTTCTGATAATGTATTGTCTGTAGTTTAAGCGAGAAGTACACAGTCAAAAAAAACAGTTCTAACGGTTTAAATTGCGAATATTTTGTTATAAGTAAAAATAAGTACGTTGGGTCCAAGGTAACTTAAAAAAAACGATTTGTACTACCTACTGCACAAGACATATCTAATAAATAGAATTAGATTTAAATAATATTAAATAACTAGATACAGATAAGTCTTAACCATTTTTACACATGCACTATATTAATAAAAATCGATTACAAATTAAAAATGTAACTTCAACTACAGCCATCGTTGAATTTTTTTCAATAGATTAAAGTAACTCGATTCCGGCGCTACGATGAGACTACTGTCCCCATGTGGCATAATTCGCGTTTAAAACCGTTAAAAGAAAACCCCGATTCAATAACTCGACTCCACTTAAAAGGCGTCCCATAAATAACAGACGAAGGAATTCATTAGAAACTCCTTTATCCGCCAAATATTCAAAAGCGAATGCAATCAGATAAAAGTTGATTAATCTGCGAACGGAGTTCCGCTCCTTATTATAATAAACTAATTAATGATGGAGCTGAACAATTCATTATAGAAGCAAAACTGCCTTCCGAACAATAATGATAATGAGTGTAATTAATTATAGGAAGTTGCTTCAAGACGTACTGAGGAGGCCGAGGGAGACAGCCGACAACGATGTCTGCGGTGCATTGCTATGGATGCGGCATTTGCACGACTGCTGCTCGTTGGTGTCGTGCAAACGCTGATTTCCCTTTAGATTTAACATGTTTGTAATCATCAAATATGTTGGAAATCTAAATGTCCATATTAAATGGGTATCAGAATTACCGTACCACCGTCCACAGATGACAACGCCGTCAAGTTTATCATATTTTGATTCAGTCTGTATTTTCGAATATCCAACTTGTTGTTCAGATGTCTGATAGTCCAAAGACTGAAACCAAATTCAAAACTTTACGTCTCCTTTATCTGTGGACGGTTTGGATCTGTGGACCACTAATTTAAACCTAGATTTCTAGACAAAGTCCAACATGTTTTTCTGTTCTTCGAACCTAGGACCTCATAATATATCATAATTGTGCATTTTCATTTTTCTCCTTATTGAAAATCATGTTTCTTGTCATTAGGCCGCTCCGCCTCTAGCAGCCTCGTATATAATGTCTTATCCAAATTTTGTCATCACGCGTCAAGACACCAAAGGGTGTGAGAGGGAGGTCAGCTTGTGCCGCTGATGGCTTTAATCATTATTACTTATAATAATTAAAATATACTTTCCATGCACATAGTCATATAAAAAGATTAAAAATTGCATCGTCTACGAATTTACCGCAGTTGATCTATAAACGCAATTATATAGATCAAATCAACTTGATCAATAATTTTTACAGTTGCTCTTATTCAATAAGATTTTAAACCATATACCTACTAATGGCAAACGTCGTTAGTTTGTATTAATGTTATATTACCATGATTAGAAAATGACCGCCTCTATAGCCAAATGGTTAAACGTAATGCGTTAAGCGCGAGAGGGCCTGGGTTCGAATCCCAGGGAAACAGGAAACTGTTTCGGTCGGGCAGGGCACAGAAGTCTGGTCAACATACTTGTCTGTTAATGCACGATATGAACAAAAATGTGTTGCCCCACGAGGGGGAAACGGGATTTCACTTTTTATGATAAGAAACTGGGTTATTTATAGAGATGTTAATATGTCGGAAATAAAATATTCATTCTTCTGGATTGAAGCAGAGCTTTGTGTTTTTAGTTATAGTATAACATACGTTTTCTAATGTACGTACGTGTATAAGTACTAAATTTTTCGTCTTCTATTTAAGTAGGTATTTTTTTTTTAAATTTCTATTTCACATATTCTGTTATCACCAAGTGCATAAGTAATAAAATCAAATCTCCTTTGCTTGTAGGGCTTGGGCCAAACACATTTTTGTTGTGCGTTGGAAATAGTTAATTAGACTACTGCGCTCTGCCCGACCGAAACAATTTTTTGTTTCCCTGGGATTCGAATCCAGGCCCTCTCGCGCTTAACGCAATGCTACACTTTAATTTAAAATAGGAACATAATATAAACCGTAACATTATTTTTAAAAGTTACTTGTAAAGTACTCGATTTTACAAGTAACGTACTAAAAATAACTATCTTTCAAAGGGTCAGACAACGATTAATAAACTCGCTTCTACTGGATAAGACCCCGCATCTGAGGTCGCGAAGGTCTCACACATAATAATTTGTTCGAGCCTTGTAAATCCTTTTGCTGTGATATTTTTAACTAGCGGTAGAAAGAGTTATGTTGTTATTAACTATTATTGATACTGCATTCTTGAATTGAATTATACCTTCTACATGCCACATCTATATGAATAATATATAATGTATAATATGTAGAATTAGCAAATATAATTTTATATTTTTTTGGTTCTAGAAATGTTGTAGGTGTACTTATACAGAACAAATTTTAGAGTAGGTACTTACGCGATTAGTACACAAGTAACACACTTTAACGGTTTAAAACGCGATATTTATTAGATAAACTTATTTGAAAATTATTTTTACTACGGCCCAACGTTTCGGACGTGTTACTTTGACGTCAGAGACACTCTGCATCTTCAGTCTCCCTATGACCACGGCTGCTGCAAAGCATCCGAAACGTTAGACGTAAATACATATCGCGTTTTAAACCGTTAAAGTGTTTTATTTAAACAGAAAATGACGTTCAAATTGAGTTAGTGTCTTTACAAAAAAACTTCCTTAGTTAAACGGTCACCTTCCATAGCAGTTAAGTTTAGTCAACATATTTACAACTTTTTTTTAATTACGAGTATACGTATTCAAGCAGCTCTTTGATAAACTAACTTAAGTTTAATTAAATAATTTGTTAAATTAAATCGAATTAACCGTACTTACATTAATTCCTACAGTAAAATAACATCGGAGGCCCACCTTGAAAGTCTGCCTCTACTATAACAAAGTGTGAGCCACCATCTTATGAATTAAACTGATTTCACGAGCATAACATGCTACGAAGAGGTACAGCAGGTTTCCTTTGCGGCCCAGTTAAGTTGATCATAACCGGCCCGTTAAAAGCTCCTAACTACCTTACAAGTCGGGGTCGCATAAAGAGGCGTATGAACGCTCATTAGGTACGCGGTATCGTCCATAAATACATTATCGCTGGGGTGGCGGGCGGAGGGTTATCGAATTAAAACTTCACTAGCAATAGTTGAGTCGAACAGTGTATTAATACACCATGTATAATTCGAACGCTTGGACAAACTTGGCCGTCTCCGCTTGCCACCGCCGAACGAGCGCCGAACGCGATAACATCGGAATATTGAATTTTATTACGTGTTACTTAATAACTGCGATGTTAATTGCAATTTTATTCGTCCGTTTTAATTGTTCCCGATTATTCTTTAATAGAATAATGACGGGATGGTTTTACTGAAGTGAATTTTTATTTAGTTGACGATGGTTATCTCTTTTGTTTACGACTTAATTCGTGGGCGTAATTAAGTTGTTAATAATAAAATAGATTAAACCGCAAATAACAAACAAATTTCATATGTCAATGACATCTATGCTACCGCCATCTGTTTATCTCGACATAAAATAAATATTCAACATTTATTATTGACGGTAGTTTGATGTCTTGTAGAAGGTTTAGTTTAATATGCGTATCCCTATATCTCATTATACCTAACATCGTCAATCTTAATATCAAATTTGACATTTTGTTAGTCTTCAGCTAATAAGAAATGTGTATACGTTAAAATTACACACTGTGTTATTTACGATAATTGCTTTTTAACAGTTTAAGATAGTTCGAAATTTAAATTATAAGTAACACAAACATTTATACCGTTACAATATCATCAAACAGAACTAAGTATAATAAGCAATAATTTAAATGTACACATAAATATTTGTATGTTTGTTCTAGCTAAAATTATTAAGTGGAATAGAACAACGGGAGGGGGTGTTGCGGTAGGGAGGGGGTGACGCGAAGGAGCGATCGAGGTAAGGGTACTGGCTACGTAATTAGATTTTCAAAGTCCGAATACACTGCTCGTACTTGTCTTCATAATAATGCGCTTGGATTCGCACTTTTTGATACTGTGAATTATAGATTAGATTTCAGTGGGCCGTGTTGGATCTGGTTGGACTGATTCTCAGTCGTTCATCAATTTATATTTTGTGTCATTTTGACAATTTGGTCAATGAGGTGGATAAAGCTTCATACTTCATAGGAGTGTAGCACTGGGTAGTCTTAAATGACTCATGAAGTCTCTTTTCGAAAACTAAGGTAATTAATAAAATGTTATATATACATAAATAATATTCTTATATTAGAAATTACCTTGCTGTAGAAATATATCACAAACAGAATCGATTTTAGTCGCAGTCAATTATTTTATTTACTTCCTCTTAACAACATACTCCCTTCTACATAATGACAATTTCAAACAGGTCTAATGAGATATTAAAAATCTATTTGTATTAAAAAAAACCTACGCCACGGGCGGGACAACACGACAGCTTAATTGTTTAGAGCAACGGAACGATATAAATGCCGATACCAGTCCTGTTCGTGTCGTATTTTTTTTAAATCTTAGTAGCGTTTTTAATTTATATAATGCCATCATTGGAAACATATTAAAGTTTCCAAACAATGAATGAATGAATGAATAATGTTGCTAGTATCAAGACGTTCCGATCGCCACTCCGTAGCGAGGTATCGGATATTTAGTTTGCTTTGGGCCGGCGGGGTGGGGGAAGCTAAGTCCAACTATAAATTAGGAAGGGTACAGTTTCATTAATCACCCATACGCCGTTATTATTAATTAACCCCCTTCGGAACTATCGCTGCCGTAACGTATCGACCTACGCTAATGTCAACTCTTTACATTCCGACTTTATAAGCATTGACAACATTCATAAATAATTCTCGGACCGCGGCGTACTATAATTATCTGATGTTATCAAATTTTTTATCAACACATTCACATTATACCTACACCAAATTGTAATGCGAACTATTTTAATCTATACTAATACATAAAGCTGAAGCGTTTGTTTGTTTGTTCGAACGCGCTAATCTCGGGAACTACTGGTTCGAATTGAAAAATTCTTTTTGTGTTGGTAACACTTATCGAGAAAGGTTAGACATTGAAATAGGCTATAAAACATTGCGTTTCGAGTTATAAGAACAAAGAAACACTGGGAAAAGAGACCAAAACGGGGAAAACTGTGTTTATCTTAGTGGGCCGCCGTTTACTTACGCTGCGAAACGGTCCAAGATTCCAAAAAATATGTATGAAAGAATGATCCTCTCAGGAGCCACTTAATGTCATTAAACACATCGCTAGAGCATGCGAGATCTTGGGTTTCAATCTCCGATTAATTAAAAGATGCGATCAGATATTGCATAGTTACGAAAGTGACGAAAATCAACGACTACTGTATGTATTTACTTAAGACATTTTTTATATACAGGTAGGAACCAATAACAAAATAGTAACATTTTCGTAGTATGCATTAAACAGACTAAACTGATTTAAATAAAACCCCGTCTCCCCGAGTCTCCCCGTGACCACGGCTGCTGCAAAGCATCCGAAACGTCGGCCGAAGTTAAAAATCATTTTCAAATAAGTTTAACTAATATATCGCGTTTTAAACCGTTAAAGTGTTTTATTTAAATGTGTATTACTCGCGTAAACTATAGACAGTATTTAGACGAAACTGA